AGTTGCACTTGGAGCCTAGTTTTGGAACGCACCTAAGCTGGCAAAAGAACACTGCGTTTTTTCGTTCAGATATTTAGTATTATGCATGTAAACGCCATATTATAAATGCTCAATATATTTTTTTCGCGGAATATTTAAATAATAGGTGTTTATTTTCAATTTTATTTATTTGTGTAACAGAAAATGTATCTACCCAGTGTCTAGACATCGTATTGGTAATATAATGACTTCGAATATTAAAGATTGCTTATATTACCTTTTTTCATCCCGGTGCTAAAAATTGTTTTAAAGGATACTGATACAAAATTATAATTATTCAAAGGTTCTGGGTAGTTTGAGCTCCTTAAATTGTATAGTTTTACTTGTTAAAATGTCTGTCCATGTTAAGCCAAATTCTCATACAAAGTGGGCATTGCCCTTTCACGTCGAGTTCGAAGTGCTTTTAATACTGATGCATATACATAAGGAAAGTAGGGCACAGCGGATTTTCTTCGAACCTCCACCTTACAGAAAACCACAGTAAAATAAGGCTATCTTTTGGTGGTGTTGTGTTTCTGCGGGTGAGTAGGGTTCCAGAGCTCTGCGAAGTAGGGGATTGGGTTCAGGCTGGTAAGGTGAGGATGGCTGGAGCGGCATACCTTCTACCGCATCATCTATTTTCGTGACAGGACTCCACTTATACTTAACATCATCATCATCGTCATATCAGCCGATCTCCACAACGATCGGTCCTGCGCTGCCCGCATCCAGCGTTTTCCCGCGACCTTCACCAGATCGTCGATCCACCTTGTAGCGGGTCTTCCCACTGAGCGTCGTCCGGCACGCGGTCGTCATTCGAGAGCCTTTCCGCCCCAACGGCCATCGGTTCTCCTCGCTATGTGTCCCGCCCACTGCCACTTCAGCTGGGCTATTCTTCGAGCTATGTCGGTGACTTTAGTTCTCCTACGGATCTCGTCATTTCTGACTCGATCACGCATACTTAACATCAGGTGGAGGGGAATAATTTGTTGCGCCTCGTATGAAAAAAAAATGTGACCCGTCACTGAAAGCCTGGCAGATGTGAAACACTAGCTGGTTTACGATTAATACACTCGGAGAATTGCTCGGGATGCGTGCGATTAAAAATGACATAGGTCCTTCCTTTGTATGCTGGTGACCTTTACAGCGTCACCGGGTTTGGGGACGGCGAGATCCTAAAGGGACCTCAAGCCGAGAATTGGCGAGTGCCTCTAGAGGTATTCCAGGCGGATGGCGTCTCCCCACGGGGGGAGTCTCCATCTGGAGCCTCCAGACCACTCGAACCTGAGGGGTCTAACTGATCGGCGAGTAGTTTAGCACTGGTATATATTGCATTATATGGGCGAGCGTCGCCACGCCAGAATTCGGTTTTACATGCGCCAAAAGATTTTTTACACCAAAAAACATGTCTCACTGTGTCGCACCTGGTCTGTGTGTAAAGATATATATATATATATAATCTGGACCTATTTAGTGACTATGGTGAATGTTGCTCCATCTGTCATCAATCAAACATAAAAAATTTTGCTCCGGCTTAGCATAATAAGCATTGTATTATCTCCTGTTTTCTTGCTGCACAATCGTTCTGTCGTATTGGATATGTTCAATGTAACAACAACATGTTTGTAAATATCATGCATAATTATTTATTTTTATACTTTTACTAGCTGACCCAGCGAACTTCGTACCGCCCTAAAAAAATAGGGGTTGTCCAGCGGACAAAATTGTGAATCTAAACCATTCTCAGATCCCCTTGAACACACACAAAAAATTTCATCAAAATCGGTCCAGTCGTTTAAGAGAAGTTCAGTGACATACACACTCACAGAAGAATTATATATATAAAGATAATTTTGTTAAGAATGCACACTCTGTCATTATTGTCACAAATGCATGCCGTGGCAGCCTATAATTAAGATACCACTTGAATTGTCACTTATACACTTTTGTTAAATTATACTATGTGTGGATAATCTTGGTGGTGGTCCTTAAATAAATAAATAAAATAAAACTAGCAAACCAGTGAACCAGATGTTCACCAAAACCTGATTTAAAAAAAAAATGTATTTAATTAATTGAGAACTTCGGAGATTTTGTGTGGTTTCGTTTGAAATTCGTGATTTCTCGAAAACCGGAAGTGCTACGTTACTCAAATCCGGTTTGTAGTCTTATCAGACTATTCTTAACTTATAACTTAAATATTCTCTTTATCTATCTCTTACGGTTTGGCCGCTGAAACAGCACCACAGACGGACGGACGGACTTGTCTAATAGATAAGAGATAAAATATGTATTTAGAATGTTCCCATTCGCTAACAGCTTCACTACCCAAATGGCAAAACCCAAAAGCGAAAGTTAAGCCTTGCCGCCTTAATTCGTCCACCGGATTACTTTGACCGATTTTAATACAGACAGCGTGTTTGTTGACTTTCCATCTGTTTACTGTCCGTTGGCGCTATGTCAACAGCCCTGTTTGTGTTTCATTCGGATTTGCGCGGGAAACGATGACAGGGTTGCCATGTTTGTTTTCAGGTAAAATACCTAAGGCTCTTAGGAAATTGCAATAAGCGGAAAATTAATGTTCTATATTAAATAGCGGATGGGTTTCAGGGTTCATTTTAATATGTCTGCAATTTGAAGAAAAAATAATAAATAAATATTTCCAACACACACACACCAATTAGCCTAGCCCCAATCTAAGCACTGTAAGGCTTGTGTTATGGGATGCTAGGGTAACGGATAGAATACATATTCTTACATATTTAAGTATATTTATAAAGAAATAAACATATTAAACATCCATGACTGGAGTACAAATGCTTGTTTTCATCACATAAACATTTGCCCCCACCGGAATTCGAACCGGAACCTCTCGAGTCGGCGACACCATGAAACACGGCCTACAAACCACTCGGCCAAGGAGGTCGTCAAAAATGATGTTATTTATATAAAACATGTTAAGGGTAGATTCTACCCCTAACATCAAACAGGTCTTCAAAGCTGTTTTCGAAAGATTTGAAATAAAATTTATTTTCAGTCCAGCGCCAAATCATAAAAAGATACACAGATTACGATTTTGTTCATTCTTGTTGTTACGTAAAATTTCGCAACTCGCCTGTTTTTCTGTTTTCAGTTTCAGTTCGTGTGTTTAGTTTGTTCGTCAACCCTACAAGATCCAATGTTGGAAACAAACATGCTTTGAGTTTGTCATAACGTGGAGTACGCGTGGACTAGAGTACCAGTTCTATGCCGAGCGATTTTTTTGTTTTTCAACATGTTTCTTTTACATAGCTCTTTCACCAATGTGAACCATTTCTAAAGTAACACACCAAGTTCAAAAAGAGAGTTGAAATTTATTTAATAAATACAAAATATGACATTAATACATTATGACGACCTCCGTAGCCTACTAGAAATGTTAGTATGAAGAATCCAAGCATATTTGTACCGTAGTCATGGATGTTTTTATATATTTCTATAAAAATATTCTCATATACCTATCAAATAATTTATTCTATCCGTTACCCTAGCATTCCAAAACACAAGCCTTAAAGTGCTTACTTTGGGGCATGGCTAATTGGTGTGAGTTAGAAATATTTATTTATTAAGATAATAACCAGACCATTAAAACTACCTATATGTAACCATCTTAATGTATTTCAGTATACTGCCTTGTCAAGCGAAATACAATATTTTAAAAAATTTTTAGAAAATTAAAAATGGTAAGGTAATCATCTAGAGGCGACATCGTCGTTAGTATACCACACTGACATTATAAAGGCGAAATTTGTGAGTGTGTATCTTTGTTACTTCTTCACGTTTAAACGGCGGGAGCGATTTTAATAAAATTTGGTATGGAGTTAGCTGACACCCTGGATTAACACATAGGTTACATTTTACTGAGGGAAAATTTCCCTAATAAACCGCGAGTAACACCGTGGGGCACAGCTTGTAGTTAAATAAATCGATGTAGTATGCATACATGTACTGGCCAAGAATTGGCTTGCCTCTAGTGATTTATTGAAGTTAGTATGTTATGTACTGCTATATATCCAGACGTCGGCCCAATACCAAGTCGAACACAATATTTTTGAAATTAGACAATAAATTACAGTCGTGTAGAATAAATTATTGGCAGTGCCAAATATTATGAGCATTACACGTCAATAAAATAATACTAATATTATAAAGGCGAAAGTTTGTGAGTGTGTGAATGTTTATGTTTGTTACTTTTTCCCGTATAAACGGCTGGAGCGATTTTAATATAATTTCGCATGGAGTTAGCTGACACCCTGGATTAACACATAGGCTACCTTTTACTGCGGAAAAATATCCGTAATTAACTGCGGGTAACACCGCGGGGCACAGCTAGTGTTAACATATTAACTGTTTACATGTTGCGGTAGCGTTGCCAAGAATACCTATATGTCAACTTTCTTGAACAAAAATTATTAAATGCACTTAATTTCAATATATTTAGTACTACCTAGGATTCATAAATGTTCGAGATAATACATTTTTAGTTACTCATCCGATGACCGGCTGTTGCGAACCATTTGCGTATCGAACTCACCACGTTTGGGTACGTTGGCTAAAAAAGAACCATTCTCACGATCGACTCATCATCATCATCAGCCTATTAATGTCCCCACTGCTGGGGCACAGGCCTTCCCTATGGATGGAATAGGGAGATTTGGGCCATGACCCAACACGCGGGCCCAGTGCGGATTGGTGGGTGGATCACGATCGACTAGCGAGAAAGTATTTGCATCGCTACTCGTACGCTGCTTAATTTCCAAAGAAACTGACGTTGGCAACATGAATACTGATCTGTCAAAGTTAGTGCTTGGGGTAATTATGTGTCATATAAATTTCTATCCGTAACCCTAGTATGCCATAACACGCCATAAAGTGCTTACTTTGATGCTAGGCGCATTGGTGTGAGTGGGTGTTTGATATATTTATAATTGAATTTGTTGCAGCTACATATGCCTGAGCGGTTGCATCACGAAGGCGGAGAGTGCTGGCGAAGCGCGCGAGAGCATTCAGACACTGCTCACGGTCTGCGCGGACATGTGCCAGCCGAGCGACGCCGACGTGGTGAGTAGTGTTGCCAGGTCACTGATAAAATACCACTTTAGTAGGAAAATTTAAAATATCGGTGAATTTGTAAATGCTTCGGAGAAAGTAGCCTTTGAAAGAAATTTGGTGACTCATTTCTTTGTCGTACTATTCGTAAGTGGAATTATTTACCCGCGCAAGTGTTCCCTCCTTCCTATAATGGAATCACGAAGGACCCCATCCTTTAAGAGAGGCGTGAAAAAGCATTTTTGCAGGCCGGCAAGGTGAGGATGATTGGTGTAGCAGTTTATAACTGCTGTACCAGCTATCTTCGCGTTTGGACTTTATTACCACTTAACATCAGGTGGGGTAGAGTCATTTGCCTACCTTAATATAAAAAAAAGCCTTCACCCTGCAGAAGAATTTTGTACGGTGAGTGTTTAAATATGTGTTGTATTACTGCAGTAAGTAAGGCTTGCAAGAGCTCCACAGGGTAGTGGAGTATTGTTGAGAGAGGGTGGCTATAGTGGACTCTGCCGTTTCAGCTACCTTTGCAACTGGACCCCACTTGTATATAACATTAGGTAAAATTGAGTAATTTGATAAATTCCGTTACCCATTACGCGGTCCTAGAGCGTATTGGTGAGTGCTCACGATTGCAGATGCCGGCGGGACCAACGGCTTAACTTGCCTGCCGAAGCATGTTCGAACTCCATATAATAAACTTTCAATTATTCGTCCAATAGTCAGCTATTGTGGAAGTTACCTAACTTTGAAACGTCTAAATAGCTACAGCTCATTTACAGTTCATTTCCTTCACTGACTCAATATTTATTTTTAAATTATAAAATTCGACTCGGATGATGCTCACGCGGGAATTCCACAAGGAATCGAATATTAGTTTTCATCAAAAGTGATGCGTCTATACAAACAATGCATTTCACTGTTCATCATTCACAAATCATTGCTAAAATGAATCACTTTTGATAAACCGTCTAATTTCGCATTAAGAGCCCTTTTACCAAATTGCGCCGCTGCCGTACTGATCGGGGCGTAGGTAGATTTGCACTAGTATATAATGCATTTGAACATGAACATGAACTCATTATAAAAATATATACATATTTCAGTAGTTCAATGATGGTAGATTAGTTTAATGAAAGTTTTTGATAGCAATTGTATTTATTTCAGTATCAAAATACGAGGTAAACCTGCATTATTTTTTGGGAAAACTCACGGAGGTTAGATGTTTTTTTTGATAACTAATGAGATGGAAAACCAAAATTCTAATACATTATTTTACAACAAAAACATATTTCTGATGTCGTAGTTATTAATGTGATCTAATTTATTGAGAGATTGAGGCGTTTGAAGTTGTACATATTATCGTTTTTCCGTAAACTAGCTGCACTAGAACGATCAGTACAAAAAAAGGAAAATAGTATTTGCAATTATTCTATATTAACTTACAATAAGAAGAATAAATCTACTGTTTATTTATATTGGAAATAGTCAAAATCTTTTCTAAGGGGGTAGAAGAGGCGCTCAAAAAAAAAAAAGTGAAAGGGCTCTTAACGGGTACCAAATGATGCTGTGTTTGTTTTCGTTATGAACTCATTCAACTGTCTTTTACCCAGGGTCCCGAACGCCTATCCGCCGTACAGTCCCTCCGTTGCGCGCTCGGCACAAGCGTTTGCGGTTCCCGCGCGGAGTTCTGCGGGTTGTTCGCTCGCGGCGCTTTGCTGCCTGACGGCGGAGGGCGTTTCGTGCGCGCCGCGAGGACGGCGCATCTGCTCCGCGCTATCGCCGAGGTGGACCACCATATCGTGCAGGTGAGGACATTATACACAAACAATAACCACGTTTTAGACATAGAGAATATCTTGTGGCAGCGACATCTACATGCCCCACATATAATCTTCTTCTTTTTGGAAAACGGCGGTGCACTTTTGTGGATTTCGCCAGATGATTCAGCTTGGTTGTTCAGTAGGAATTGACTTTGCTTTTTTTTTAAGTATGTTGTGAAAGCACAATATGTGGAAGAAGTAAACAATGTACTTGATTTTTTGTAATTGGATATCTGTTGTCTTATCTGAAAGGTAGAGACAAACAATAAAAAGTCAGTAATGTTAGTTGGTTAGTCTAGAGACAATCAATTACAAGCGTATATTATTGTTGGATATATATTCACAAAGTAGGATAATAAAGGGAGAGTTAACATGGGTTAGGAGTGTTTTAAAATTCATAGGTTTGGGAATGTATGGTGGAAGGATGTCATAGAGTGAAACCGGGTATTTTGGGCAACTAAAGAAAATATGTTCGGCTGTTCCTTCATCCAGCCCGCATTCACATAGTGAGTTGTCTTTGACCTTAATTTTGGCAAGGAAGACGGAGGTGTTTACGTGCCCCATTCTTAGTCTGCAAATGGTCGAAGCACACGACTTTGAGGCGTTCTTAAACTTGGAAAACCAAGGTTTACTTGGGATGATATCTTGGATATCCGCATAATGTTTTCCGACCGTCTTGCTGGATAGCTTCCATTGAGAGCAACACGGAGTAAATAGTCACTCGTCTCCGCAAGAGATGTCACTACCGGCGCTGCGTTCACAACGTATGGAAGCTTACATCGCGCAAGTGAAATTCAGAGCCAAACACTCCATATACACGATGCCCGACCAACATCAGTCGGGCCGCGGCCCACGAGCTACCATCATCCAGCTCGGAGGAAGATCTTCCCTTTGGGCTACCTAAAATCTTAAACGAGGACGGCGCATCTGCTATCTCTATGACATCATAGATAAAGAATGGAAACATTATAGAAACACAATATCCTGACCATTCTCTCTTCAACTCCACGACAATGAAAGAGTAGCAAGAAGTTGCAAGACCGGATAATTTGATGGGCGCCATCGCCGTGGTGGACCATCATATCATGCAGGTAAGGACATTATATAGGCATAGATATACGCAAAACAGACGCCATAATGATGTGGAGTTGTGAAAAAGCACGCTGCAAAGAAGTAGAAGAAGAGCGTCATCATACTCATAGAGAAATAGAGAATGGACTGATCATGCTCTGTCCAAATACATAGCGATCAGCGGGACAATCGACAAATGGGATTGCTATGGTTATCGCTATCGCTTACGATTTCATTTAGTTATTTCTGACCGCCGAAGGTTTTCAAATGCCTAACGCTCATCTCTTATCTATTAGATAAGTCCGTCTGTCTGTGGTGCTGTTTCAGCGGCCAAACCGTAAGAGATATTTAAAGAGAATATTTAAGTTATAGTTAAGAATAGTCTGATAAGACTACAAACCGGATTTGAGTAACGTAGCACTTCCGGTTTTCGAGAAATCAGGTTTTGGTGAACATTTGGTTCACTGGTTTGCTAGTTTTCTTTAATATTGTTATTACCAATGCAAAAGAAAAAAAGAGCGCTTTTGAAAACCTCCGGCGGTCAGAAATAACAAAATGAAATCGTCCCGTTTTTGTCCCGTTAGGCGACTAGCCCCCAGAAAGAGAACCGAGTTTAGACAATTCAAAGGGAAAATTGAAACAGGAGTATCCTTGTAGGTGATGTTGCTGTTTTTGTATGTTTACTGATCTACAGTGGATCAGCTGATCTTGATCATCATAACAATAATAGAATTAAGATTATGTTATTACCCTTATGTTGTCGAAGTTCCTCCCATTCGCACGACGCGATTTTCTTCTTCGGCCTTCATTATGCGAACGGCTAGGGAGTAGAACTCCTTGCCGAGGTCTGTTTTCCCGGACCAATATAATCTGGACATCTTCAAGGCCAGAGTGAACAGGCAGCTTCTAGGCAGGCGTGTACCTAGGCCTCATCATCGCTTTCCATCAGGTGAGATTGTGGTCAAACATATTGCCTATTTTGCATCAAAAAAGAAAAAAGATTTAAAGCCTGCGGTCTCTCCTTATTTCCTCACAAAGTGAAGACTACTGTCGTTCTAAAGCCCCAGATTTTACAAACACGTAACAATAGTCCTCATGCGTATAATGCGATTCAACTAAGAATAGGACCGACTGGGCGCCATATTTTGACGTCATAGCTGTCAATTCGAACCAAATAGTAGAGTGAGCAAAAAAAAAGGTTTTATTTAATAAAACTTCTAAGATTAAGTAAGAGAAAATATCAGATTTTTTTATTAAAATATTTACTAAGATTAAGAAAAATACAACTGATTTTTAAAAATATTTATTTATTAAGACTGTGTGAGAAAAAACATAAATCACAATCTAGCTCTATCTCTGCATTACCGCCGGAGTAGTTATGAATAATCATCCACTATTACTAGGTCACATTTTAACTTAACATTAAGTGACATTTGGTTGACGGTTTAGGTTATCAACCATTATCCACCACCTCATATTTTATTCTAGAATCAGCAGAGTGCTAAAAAAGGGTTCCAAGTTTATTTTGCAAGCCGTACTTTTCAAGCGACACTTGACAGTATTAGGTCATTGGCTTTCCTATTCTTATTTGAATTCCATTTAACCTGCCTGTGGATTGTCGAAGTCAAGTCTTTAGTATCATTCCCCTCTCGTATCTTCCCTGTGGTTGTTTTGAATTATTAATTATACCGAGTTTCATTATGAAGTGTATTATAAATTGGACTACCTCTTATAGCCAACATTTTAAACAAAGCTCAATTACGAATATCCTACAAAAAACCCTCTTCACACGTTCAATATTCCACATGCATCCCTGCCGGTACATTGCCAAAGTTAGGTCATTTCGTATCATTCTACTCTCGTGTCATCCCTATGTTTGCTTTGGCTCCTTAATTACCACGAGTGTCATTATCGTGTGTTTGCTGTGCGTTGCGCACGGGGGCTACATGAGATGATGCGTAATGGGGATGGGAAAGCGAAGAATTTGGTGATTTCAATGATAGGATAAATATATATAGAAAGAAAGAAAAACATTTATTGACGACATACATTAACAGTTACAATAAATACACATAAAACATAAAACAAAATGTCTATCGTCAACTAGGCCCCACCTCAGCATAATGTTGCAACGGTAAAAATGGATTGCCGCTGCAACGCTGATATTCTGGAGGGACCTAATTTGGACATCAAAGGACGGAGACACAAGACAATCACTTAATATACAAATAAGAGAAGTTATTAATATTAAAACAAAAAACTTAATCTAAGAGACTGTGTAGGCTTAGGTCTTTGCCTTCGGACATACAATAAGAAGAGCGAAAAAAAAAACATTACTTGTTTTATCCATTTTAGGATATAGTATATTGTTTTAAACTTTCATGGTCACTAACATTATAGATATTAACGGGATTGTCACAATGTACCTTGTTTTTTATGAGTCTCCGATATTTCGGCACTGTTGCAAGCACCATGATCACGGAGTAACTGAAGTAATTGCTCATTATCATTATTATGATACGCGAAAATCAGCCATCGCGGAACATTTAATTGATTCGGGTCCTAATCACTGCATTGAGCTTCATAATCCACAAATTATCTCGACAGAACGCCACTACATACCAAGGTAACAATCCCGTTAATATCTATATAGGTTTATTTTTATTTTTATCTGCCACTGTCAAGGTTATGTCTTAGTTCCTAAATAAATATTACCACTAAGTTTGAAACTTATTATTGAAGCTTGAACTTGCAGTTTCAGTTTATTATATTGGTCCTAAAAATTATATTGTTTTAATGAAACACGTTTTGAACGAGTATAAATGCATTTTTAATACTTTTTTATTTTCTGACGATTCGCATCTTTGGCCAGTTTCTTTATACAATTATAACAAATCTTAGATTTATTTTCCTTACAATATAAATATAAAAATCGCTAAACGGAATCGTATTAATAATAGTGAATCGTACTTAACCCTCTAAACGGTGATTTGGTTAAATTGACACAAGTGAATGTGACCGGGTCTAAATGACCCCCGGATGAATGGTCGCGTGTCGATGCATCGACGGATTCGGATTGAGTGGCCAACCGTGTGGGAGGACCCGGTGACAGCTGGGGTTCAGCAGTGACTGTTATTTGAACAAGAGCCAGATAATGATGAATGGTCGTACGGCTATATTACACTTGGTAGTTAAACAATCAGTTCACGTAATGGAGTTACTAAACTGAGATTCCAAAGTTTAGGGTTATCTCTAAGATGGAATCAGTCGCAGGATTTCGAAAGTTTTAGTTTTTACTTGTATTGTTTGATTCGCAGCTTTTAACTCATTACTGTTTATAATTTTTCTGGAGATTCAATGCAGAAGAAATCGCGGTCAAAACTAACCTTATATGGTATTTTAGCAATTGGACAATGGAACTAGTAGCAATTTCTTTATAAATTCACGAGACTTGTTTCCATCAACTTAAAATATTAAATTAAAAACTTTCATAAATATATTATAGCTTAGCTTTGTCATAATTAAACAATCTACAACAATCGTAGTTGAAGTAGCAAAAACGAAAAGTATTTTGTTACAAAATACTGTTTTTGCTGTTTTGTCTGGGATATTAATATCAAACATTGTGAATTCTCACTGCAAAGCTTTTTGAATAAAATATTCAAAGTTATGGGATAATATCTCGATGGGCTACTGTATCCCTATTGATGCGACCGTAATTAAAAGATTAGCAGCGGCAGGTCGGAATGTCGCCGCGGTGTCGCGTGTCACGTCAATGACGCGTTACCGCTCCGACGGGCACTGAGTAGCCGCAACTACTGATACGCTGTCAAAATCTATGACAGCCGTGACAATAGGCTCCGATTGGATAACTTATACTTTTATGGATTATTTCTGTCCCTATTCATTTAGTT